CATTTGTGTTCTTTGTTCCTTCACTGCCTCCAATTCTTTCGCCACCTTGCTGGCCTCCTCCATCCGCTTCTTCTTCTCCCTGGTCAGGCGCAACTTCCATTCTAACTTCTCCTATTCTGTGGTCTGGCGTTTTAAGGGGTCTTCCTCTGCTTTCCAACTCCTTTACCACTTCTTCCTGTTCCGCCCTGGGGACATACAACATCACCTCCTCTTCCTCTCCCAGGGATAAATTCGCGACCCACTCAAATACTTTCTTTTCTAGCCATGGGTCCTCCTTCTGCGTGCCACTGGATTCCCCTCTCTCTCTTGTAGCCCTTCTTATCAAGGGGACTTCTTCTTCCACCTTTTCCTCTTCTTCCTTTTCTTCTATTGCCTTTAATTTCTCTTCCTCCTCCTTCTTCAATCTTTCCAACTCTTCCTCTAGCTTCTTCTTCTTTGCGGCTTGCTCCTCCAACAAGGCCAACTTCTTGGCCTGCTTCACTACCTCCCTCTTCTCTTTCTTGGCCTTTTGCTCGACCAAGATCTTCGCAGCCTCCTCCTCCTGTTCCTTGGTATAGGGAGTGGTCCCCTCACCACTCCACAACCCCAAAGGAAAGAGGAGACGCCAGAGGGTCCCCAGAGGGAGAACCCCATGAGCAAGCCGTACATAGGGTAGTCGTCCATGGTGTCAGGTGCACGACAAAGCTGTCCCACTCCTCACCACTTAGACCTACCCACTTGACTGACTGGCTGACTATCTAAGGACCACGGAGCCTTACTCTTCGATCCAGCCAGGTAAACACGGCCGATGGAAGCTTTTGCCACCATTATCCTTTACAATCCAGACCCGGATTCCCTGCACCTGAGGTCAATCCCACCTGGCTTTCACTCCGGTTCAGGACCCTGTCAACTAGGGTCTCTAGCCTAGACCTATTACTAAGCTGTCACTACAGGACTTCAACGCTGATCAGGAGGCATTTAAGGAGATCCCCCATAACTCCTCAGGAATTGTTTAACGTCGCAAACAGGGCGACGCGATCAGCAAGTCCTCTCAACACTTAGATAGCTGGTTGTGCAGCCCACAACTCAGATTTTGGGCCTACCATGCCACACTGAGCAGCCCGCCGATCTGTACCGGTCCTTAGGAGGGTTTGTCCTCCGGGTCAGTCAGTCATCAGACACGGTCTTTAGCCCTACTCAACCCGTGTGGGTTTGGTCAACGCAGCTCTATGACCTCGTACACGGAGTTCCTAACACCTGGACAAAAGAGACTCAATGCAGAAAGAAGAGATAGACAGACTCAGCACGTACCATGGGGTGAGTGCACATCCATAGGGCGAGGCTGAAGGCTTGGCGAGAATATACCAACTCCAGCTTGGTCAATTTCATGGTCGACAGTTCCAGTCAACACCTTGGTCACACACCTTGGTCAACGCTTGGTCAACGCCGGTCAACCTCGGTCAACTGCCTGGTCAACCCCTTGGTCAACGCCTCGGTCAACACTCAGCTCGGCTATGGCTACCGACCCTTTCTCTCCCATCGACCTTCACTTCTCTTCTTTTCCCTCCTTCCTTCTTTCCTCCTTCACCCCGGCTATGGCTTCCTTGTCCTTCCTCGTCCCTCCTTCCTCTTCCTCGGCTATGGCTTCTCTCTCTCCTTCACTCGTTTTCCTTCTTCTACGTATGTGTCCGAGCTCGGTGGCTATGGCCGCCACCTTCTTCCTTGGACCGCACAACAATCTTGTATCGCTCCTCTCTCTCTCTCTCTCTCTCTCTCTCTCTCTCTCTCTCTCTCTCTCTCTCTCTCTCTCTCT